TTGCAGTGAGCTGTGATCATGCCACTGCAATCCAGCCTGGATAACAGTGTGACACACTGTCTGTAAAATGAATAAATAACAAATAAAAACAAATATATTATTCTTCTTATTATTTTCTGCAGGTCATCAAGGCAGCTGAGGCTCTGATCCAATACCTTCTCATTCTGAGGCTGAAAGTATAGCCCCTTATCTTGATTTTGTGGCAGAGCCGAAAAAAGAGAAATGGCCAAACCAGACAGTGAATCTCGCAGCCTCTGTTGGATGTGATAACATCACTTCTGCTCATGTTCCACTGGCAAAGCAGATCATGTGACCAAGCCCGATGTGGATGTGGGTGGGTGGATATTACTCCTGAAGGGGCCCTGCCAGGCAGATGGCAGGGGGCGGGGTGCTCAGTTCTCCTGTAGGCAGGAATGCAGAGAGCAATCAACCACCCTGGCCTTCAAAATACTTTGACTTCTTTGAAGGTCAAAGTTTTGGCCTCTCTTGAGATCCTAGAATCCTGGAATGTCTGCCTAAAAGAGGCTCTGGGGTGAAGTCACCATTATGATAAATCAGGAAGCTGAAATCCAGGAAATAGAAAGGAACTCATCATGGATTTTACCAATTTTATCAAATTTACATAAGAATTACAGGCTGGGCATGGGATGGGGGAATCCCAGCTGGAATCCCAGCTACTCTGGAGGCTGAGGCAGGAGAATCACCTGAGCCCTGGAGTTGGAGGCTGCAGCGAGCCATGCTTACGTCACTGCACGCCAATCTGGGTGACAGAGTAAGATCCCAACTCTAAAAAAAGTAAATAAATAAACCAACTACCGAAGTCAATGTTGCTTTATAAGTTGTACGGAACAGAAGATGAAAGCACCTTCTTCATTGGAGTTACCCGCATCCCTCACTGCCTGGCAGGTAACTAGCGCAACTTTCTCCTGTGGCCCCGAGGGTATAAATAATGGTCAGCATATGGCTGCTTTCCTCAAGGAGCCTACATAGAGACAGGGGACAAGAGATGAAACCTACGATGACAGCATAATATGATACGTTCAGGAAGTCTGAAGGCACAGAATGGGGTGGCCCCAATCAGGACTCACGATGAGAAAAGGCTTTCTGAAGACGAGACTGTTGGAGGAGCAGCCAAGGCTGAGATGTGCAAAGAAAGTGTGGTGCCGCTGGGAAGAGGGAGCTGTTCCAAGGCCTTAGGCACCATGCAGAGTTTGGATGGGGAATCACGGAGGGCTCAGGTGTTTCTTTCAGGAGCATTGTTCTGGCATCTTTCTGGAGAGGATGTGTTGGGGCGGTGTGTGTCAGGATGGGGGTGCCAGAGACTGCTAGGTTATAGTTCTCTTGTGGGATTCTAACAGTAATGACGACTTCCTTTGGGCATCCTCCCACTCTCCCATACACATGCCCGCAGGCATCTGGTGGGATCCTCATAACACCTTGTGTGCAAGAACTGTGGTCCACGTTTTGCAGATGAGAGAACTGAGACTTAAGGAAAGGAAGCGACATGCCCAAGGGAACACATAGGAAGTAGGCAGTCACACTGACACGCTCCCCCCAGTCCTGCTGGACTGCGTAGCCTCTTCTTCCCAGCCTACCCACTGCCCTTCCCCTGGTAGGTGGGGGAGACTGCCAGTTACACCCACAGCCGATTGTCCAGAATTAATAAATGGTCCCTCCCACCTAGACTTCTGGTCTGCTATTTGTAGGATTTCGTTTCACTAGAAGGAACCGTGGCACATAGTAAATGCTCAGAAAGTATTTGTGGATTGAAGGAAGGATGGAATCTGAGCTCCACAGATGACTGCGCATTTGGCCCGTTCTGCCATTCCAGGGTATGCATTGAGGGAGGGGGCTGGTCAGAGTGATGCCTTGATCTTAAAGGGCGCAGCTGTACTTTGTTTATTTTTTAATTAAACTTTTCAGTGTTGAGATCATTGTTGATTCACACCATGGGTTCAAATCCCCATTCCACTGCCTGTGTGCTAGGGCGATCTTGGGTATGTTGCTTAAATTGTGTGGCTTAAATTCTGCTCTCTCCCCTGAGGAGACAGGGATCTGAATGGTGTCTATGGCATCGGGCTATCCCCAGCAGAGTCCTTGTCACCTATGGGCTGCATTTTTACTCACCCCAGGAATAATCTAATACACATGGTTATCAGCTTCGCGCCTTTCAACCCCATCGCCTCTGACACAGAGGCCCCGCAGGGAAGCAGCACGATGCAGAGGTCATGGAGCTTGGATCTGAACGATCGGAGTGGGAAGTGGATTCCGCCCTGAATTCGCTGGGTGACCTTGGTCCCTCTGAACTTCCACGAAACAGTGTAGCACAGTCTTCCTGGAGGGTTGCGGTGAGAATGAAGAGCGGAGGTATGTTACGTGCCTTCTGGGTTGTAACACAGATGAGTGATGCCTGCTCACCTCTATCAACTCTCTGGAGCCGGCTTTCACTACTCCTCTCTCCTCGCAGCCCTGCCTGTGCCCAGACACCATTCTCTCTCCTTCGCTGGTTAATTCCATAAGGTGGTAATGACTGACAACGGTTTTTGCATTTTAATAAGGGGCTTCATGCCTTACTCCATAAAGAGGGCTACGTTGTCATTTTTGGAACCCACGTCACTAAGGGAGAGGTTTGTTCCTGCATTGGGGAGGGCGGGAGCCTGGGACACCTCCCTATGTGGGTGCACCAGCTACCCCACCCATGCCAGGGCTTCTGCTAGTTCACATAACGCAGTTTTTTTTTTTTTTTTTTTTTTTTTGCCAGCAAGAAACCAAGGCTCAGGTTACTTCTTCCCATGCTCTCAGGGCCCCTTGTTCAGCACACAACCTGTTCAGCTGTCCAAGGCCAACCTGCAGCTGGGTCTAGGCTGTGTCTGGCTCTGGGGTCCTCCTTGTCTGCCTGTCGCCCCCCACTTCCCCACTCTCTAGCAGTGGATTCCCGAGGCCCTGCAGACTGGCCACACTGCTATCGGAACACCTGCTTCTTCCGGGGCCCAGCCCGTCACCCTACTGGAGGTGAGTGGCCTCCAAGACCCATACAACTTGTTGCTGATCTCCTGATTCCAGTGAACCAAGAGATGCTCGGTTCCTGCAGCCTTGGGAAGGCTCTGTTACCCTGTTTGACGGAAGTTCAGAGAGACCAAAGTTGCCCAGTGAATACAGGGCGGAATCTACTTTCCACTCTGATCGTTCAGATCCAAGTTCCATGATGTCTGCACGGTGCCAAGAGATGAGCACTGTGGTCCTTTTCCTGTCGCCTCTGGACTTTCTGGAGCTCGCTTGTCCAAAGAAAGAGGCGCAGGCTTTGTCCCTCCCTGGCCTTGCCCTCACCGGGTACTGAGCCCACCTTCCCAGTGGCTGCCACCAAGGCTGCGGTGTGAATGTCCTCATTCCCCTCTCTCGGAGGGAGGGCTGGGAGCAGCTCACCCACACAGGGGTGGTGGCAGAGTCTCATCCAGCCATGAGTGATACTGGCCCCTTCTTGAGGGCCTTCCCATTCTGTCTGCCTGTCTCCTATGGCTGTAATGGCGGTCAGGGAAGTTGCTGGGTGGTGAATGCTTTCTCATTTCTGAAGTCCAGTGTAAAAGCCAGTACCATTATTTGTTACACAATCCAGACACATAGGCATTTCTCCTTTAGAAGAGCTACTGAAATAACAGCCCCAATTATTAACAATATTTCTAGTTATGAATTGTTTACCACAGATGTGTGTGGCCAGCACTGGTTTCCAAGAAGGCTGGAATGAGCTTGCTGTCAGAAGAGACTGCAACACTCTTAACTTTAAGTTCTTAAACACTGAAGATTGCGGCCAGGCACGGTGGATCATGCCTGTAATCCCACCACTTTGGGAGGCTGAGGCGGGTGGATCATGAGGTCAGGAGATCAAGACCATCCTGGCCAACATGATGAAACCTTGTCTCTACTAAAAATACAAAAATTAGCCAGGTGTGGTGGAGCAAGCCTGTAATCTCAGCTATGCGGGAGGCTGAGGCAGGAGAATTGCTTGAACCCAGGAGGTGGAGGTCGCAGTAAGCCAAGATCACGCCACTGCATTCCAGGTGGGTGACAGAGCAAGACTTCATCTCAAAACAAACAAACAAACCCTGAAGATTGTGTCCTCTTGGACATATGTAGCCTTATGTGGCCCCAGGATTGGTCTAATAGGCCTTAGAGGACTCCTTCTCACCTTCTGCCTAAATCATTCATGTAGGATTGATATCAATTCTCAAGAAAAAAACAGACCCATATTTTCATCAAGAATAATGATTTTGTAGGGCAGTTTCCCTTTGCAAACAGTGCTACGAATCATATTTTCCAGTAATGACTGTCTTTGAAGGCACTGAAGGAGGAGTCAGCCAGGCACGTGTTTACCGTCTCCCGCTGGCCTGGCCTCTCTCAGAGACCTGAATTAGATTTGAGTGATGTTTGCTGTGTGCCAGGCCTCTGCTAGGCTCCGTGGAAGATATGGAAATAGATCATGACAGTTTCTGCCTTTGGGGAGTTTGCTGTCTAGTAAGGGACACAGAATGTATCCGGAAATGGTTATAACAGAATTAAAAAGCACTTTGGGAGCAGGAACTGGGGTAATGGGGGAGGCATGGATGGTTGATTATTTTTAATTAGAAGGTTTGGAAAATTATTCCTAGGAGAAGAGACACTGGAGATGGGCCTTGGAGGATGTGAGGATTTTAGGAAGTGGACAGGGGGAGGTGAGTATGAAGGAAATTTCAAGAGAAGGAGGATACTAGCAAAATGTAGACTGGGAAAGGTCAAGGCACATTTGGTGAACGGTAGGCCTTCAGGGATGGCTGGCTGGCAGGGATGGCTGGCTGGCGCCTTTGGGAAACTATGGGGTCAGGGGGCATGAAACAAAACATGGATGGTGTCCAGGCTAGGAGGGTCTTGTGGGCTTTGAATTAATCCACCCACTCACACCTTCCTTGCCTTCTAGGTAATGTTCCATGCGTTGAGGATTCCAAAGAGAAATAATCCACAATCCACACTGCACACCTGCATGTTTTTCTCTAACTTGTGGACAAAGACTTACAGACAGTTTCCAGAAATAAATCCTCTTTTGCAACCCAAAGCTCATTGTTCAGTATGAGTTTTGATACATGTAAGAGGAGATATTATGATGCAAAATGAAAGAAGAAAGAAAGAAAGATGGAAGGAAGGAAGGAAAGGAAGGTAGGAAGAAAGAAGAAAGAAAGAAAGAAGGAGAGAGAAAAAAGAAGGAAAAAAGGAAAGAGAGAAAGAAAGAAAGAGAAAGAAAGAAAGAAAGAAAGAAAGAAAAGAAAGAAAGAAAGTTGCAGCCAGACTGTGGCTCATGCCTGTAATCCCAGCACTTTGGGAAGCTGAGGCAGGTGGATCACTTGAGGTCAGGAGTTCAAGGCCAGCTTGGCCAACATGGTGAAACCCCATCTCTACTAAAAATACAAAAATTAGCCCGACATGGTGGTGGGCGCCTGTAATCCCAGCTATTGGGAGGCTGAGGTAGGAGAATCTCTTGAACCCGGGAGATAGAGGTTGCAGTAAGCTGAGATCATCACACCACTGCACACTAGCCTGGCAATAGAGCCAGACTCCATCTGAAAAAAAAAAAATCACAATCCTATTCTTAGAGAGCCTACAGTTTATTGTGGCACATAAAACACTAAGGAATTGTAAGGACGTGATAGGATAAATCCTCTCTATGATAGACTTAAGGCCAGAGGAGGTTGTAAGACATAAGATCAGCTACTCTGACCTGGGAAAGAGAGTTTGGGGAAAGCTGTACAGAAAAAAAGGCCACCTTTGGCTTGCGTCTTAAAGGATGATAGCAGTTCAGTTGAGTTTTCCTTGAATTTAATCCGGAAGTTAGTCCAGTAGTTCTCAACTGAGGGTGATTTTGCCTCCCTGGGAACATTGACAATGTAAGGAGACATTTTTGGATGTCATGACTTGGTGGTGAGGGTGGGCTGCTGGTCTCTCATGGGTGGAGGTCAGGGCTGATGCTGTACATCCTAAAATGCACACAGGACAGCCTCCGCAGCAAAGAAAGCTCCAGTCCCAAAGTCAATGGTGCTGAGATTGAGAAACCCTGTATTGAGGAACACGTCAAACTCTACCACGTTGGGAGCTGAGAGATAGATGGCTGAGTAGCCAACAGCTTCCTGTGGCTTTGGGCAGATCCTAGCTGTTTCTGGTGGTCCTAGCTGTTTCCTCACACTATGGACTGAATGTGTCCCTCCAAAATCCATGTTGAAACTCCAAACCTCAGTGTAAGGGTATTTGGAGGTGGGGCCTTTGGACAAAATTAGGTTTAGATTATTAGGTCATGAGGGTGGAGATCCCATGATGGGACTAATGGCCTTATGAAAAAAAAGAAATGAGGACGGGCACAGTGGCTCATACCTGTAATTCCAGTACTTGGGAGGCCGAGGCAGAAGGATCCCAAGGTCAGGAGTTCAAGACCAGCCTGGCCAATATGGTGAAACCCCGTCTCTACTAAAAACACAAAAATGAGCTGGGCGTGGTGGCAAGTACCAGTTATCCCAGCTACATAGGAGGCTGTGGCAGGATAATTGCTTGAACCCAGGAGGCGGAGGTTGCAGAGAGCTGAGATCGCGCCACTTCGCTCCAGCTTGGTGCCTGGCGACAGAGCAACACTCTGCCTCAAAAAAAAAAAAAAAAAAAGAGGTGCCAGATATCTCCCTCCCCCACTCCCTGCCTCTGCCTCTACCACCGCCTGCCCAGCCTTCAGAACCATGGGGGCTAAATGTCTGTGGTTGCAGCCCTCCAGTCTACGGCATTCCGTGATTTTGTGATAGCAGGCAGAGCATCTTGATTTCTCATCTGGTCATGAGTCTGTGCGGCCAGATGCTCTTTTACACTTGTATCACCTCCCTAGGACATCACGAAAGGGTTGCTCAACAAATGTTCAGCTCCCCATCTTCTGGGAGGGCATGGTTTTCATCTCTCTGCAGAGTTCGGGCTCATAACTTTATAGAGCTTCTAGAGGCAGCTTTATAAAGCATGTTGGATGAGGTGTTTTGCTGTTTGTTAAGTATAATGAATTATTTATATTGCTGGATTCCTATGTGATCCTGGGAACAATATGCAGTATTAGGATCTCTCACTCTCACCCCTCCCAGCCACATTTTCTGCACACTGTCACTCAGCCCTGGTCACACACAGAAGCCACTTTCATGGCTGGAGAGATCCTTCCCCTTGACTCAGCCTCTGACAGCTTCTCAATGCCCATCGGCTATGGCCTCAGTCCCCGGGCCTGGCTTTCCCGCCAGTGGTGGTATAACTCCAGGGACCCCTCTGCATCATCGGATGCCGCCTTCCCTCAGGCTCTGCCAGAGACTTGCTTCAGCCACAGCAAACCCACCATTGTGCCCTAAGTGAACACCCCTAGAGGGAAGAGACTGTGCTTAATTGCTCTAAAAGCCCAGTTCAGCAAAGACCCAGTGAATAAAATGACAGACGAACGAATGCATACTTTAAAGAAGCTCTTAGAATTCATGAGAGGCCACATGTCGAGGAGGCTGGTGATTGGAAGGCAGTGGCATCCATGGACAGAAACAGGGAAAACATTTCCTCGATGAGGCAAAGAGGCCATCTCTGTTGGCAAATTTGAGACGTCACTCTGCAGAGATGGAACCTGACCTCCGAGGCTGACAGTTAGCAGCTCCGTGGTTACCGCTCTGATTCCACTTGCTTTCCGGTGTGGTTGGGAGATCACTACGAAACGTTCGTTTCAAGCTCCACACCCACCCGGCTTCACTAAGCAGCAGGTGAGGCTGTATCCGTGAGCTGCTGTCCTGACAGCACTGTGTAACAAGGCACCCCAAATTCAATGACTTGCCACAAATGCAACAGACCATTTCTTTTTCTTTCTCTGCAGTCTACCTATGGGCCAGCCAGGACTGTTCCGCTTCAGGCTGAGGTGGGGCGGAGCTTGTCCCCAAGGCTTCAGGTCAGGTTCAGGTCTTTTCTGCAGTCGTCCTAATTTTCTTGTACTCACCAGCAACCTGGCATGTTTATTGCATGGCAGATTCAGGGAGCGAATGGTAAAGCCAAGCCTGAGAGAATATTGAAAGTCTCTGTTCCACGTCTGCTCACATCCTATTGGCCTAGCAAGGCGTCTACCAAGACATGGGTAGACGCCTTGCTTGGCCAGTAGCACATGATGGTGGGCTGGCATGTTTACCCTGCCCTGAGGGGAGGAGAGGGGAATAGGAGCATCAATACTCTCTGAACCATCATCTCATCTATCACAGGGGTACGATGTATTACTGAAACTCTCAGCCAGAGTTCCTCAGGGAGTCTATGTTACATTGACTAGAACTGAGTCTCACGCCCAGCCCTAAACCAATCACTGGCAAAGGAGAACTGACTCACTATGAGGGATTAGACCAATTGTCCATTGGCCCTGGGCCAGGACCCTCTTCCCGGGAACACTGAATGGAGTCAGGCTTCTGTCAGCAAGGCACCGGCGGGGAGGGACTGTGGAGTAATGTCCGCCCCAGCTGCCAGCTCTGACCAGGGTGAGTCACTTTTCCTCTTTGGGCCCAGAGTAGCAAGGAAAAGCCTCCTTGGGCATTGCGGTGTGTTGGAAATGTGCCTACACACGTCTTCCCAGGTGCCACTCGCTGAAATACCTTCACCTGCTGCGTCCCCATCAGGCAGACCAGCCAGTGCACTCTGGCCTCAGATGCCGACTCACCAGGCAGCTCCTACTGTGGGTGTGTCTGTCCCCGCAGGATCCCTGGAGCGCAGGCTGCCCTCGCCAGGCACTGGCTGGCAGCCCCCGCGGCACAGGTGTTAATCAGGCCCGCTGCACTGGCCTCTGCTTCCCCAGGGACTTCTCTTCTGACAACGAAGTCTGACAGCATCTCTAAGTTGGTTGGAAACTGGACGACCAAGCAGCCTTGGATGACTCTACCCTCAGCCTGCGTCTCTGGGCTCCAGGCTGTTCATTAGAAACATGCTGGGGGGTGATAGGGATTCTCACACAATTTCCCTTGCAGGAAAGTGGATTTTCTGATGGCAGTGGCTGTCTAGGGGAGGGGGGCGGTAAGCATTAAGCCCCTCTGAGCAGTGAGGTTTTCTGTGGGCATTCCTCTCCATATCTGGCCCTGAAGCTCTCAGATCCTCCTGTGAAGCCCTGGGCAGTGCACCCAAGGCAGGCAGGAGCCCTGGCTCTAACCCGAGCAAAGCCTTGACATTGCTGCGTGATGAGGCTTTGTAGGGCCTGAAGCTTTTGCATTTGGAGAGTTTTTTTTTTCTTAATAAAGAAAAAAAGGTAGAATGTAATTTGTAAATGCTCAACTAGGTAACAGCTGGGATGGTTAATTGCATGTGTTGACTTGGCTGGGCCACCAAGCCCAGATATTTGGTCAATCATTGTTCTGGTTCTTCCTTGAAGGTGTTTTGTGGATGAGATTAACATTTAAATTGCTGAACTCTGAGTGTTGCAGATTGTCCTCCATAATGTGGGTGGACCTCGTCCCATCAACTGAAGGCCTGACCGCTCCTGAGGAGGCAGCACCCCTGCCAGCAGGCAGCCTTCAGACTTGAGCTGCAATTCCTCTGCGGGCCCCCAGCCTGCCGCCACACGCTGCGGGGCGTGGACTTCCAAGCCTCCCAGTCCTGTGAGCCAGTTCCTTAAAATCTCTTTCTCCATCTATCTCTGTCTCTCTGCCTCCTTCTCTCCCTCTCTGTGTCTCTGTCTCCCTCTCTCTCTCTCTATCTATCTTCACCTCTCTCCCTTTCTGCCTCTCTGTCTGGTCATCTCTCTCTGTGCTCTGCGTGTGTGTGTCTCTCTCCTTCTCTGTCTCTCTCCCCATGTCTCTCTTTTTCTCTCTCTCTCTTTCTCTCTTTCTCTCTGTCTCTCTCTCTTTCTTTCTCTCTTTTTCTCTCTATCTCTCTCTTCTCTATCTTTTTCTCTCTGTCTCTTTCTTTCTCTCTGTTTCTTTCTGTCTCTCTCTTTTTCTCTCTCTTTCTGTCTGTCTCTCTCTTTTTCTCTCTCTCTTTCTCTCTCTCTCTCTCTTTCTCTCTCTGTCTCTCTCTCTCTTTTGCTCTGCACACACATACATATCTTACTGCTTCTGTTTCTTGGGAGAACATTGCCTAACGCAGGGC